CGACTTCCAGTTTCCGGCGCCAGCATCAGGTTTGTTTAAACAGAGTCCCGGCGGCAAACCGCCGGGACTCTGTTTAAAAACTCGTAAAGCCGACTGTCGGCTTTACAACAGAAGCGATTCTAGCAAGTTATCTGTCGCCAGATCGCTTCTGTGTCCCGAAGGGGCCACCCCACCCCCGCCAGACACCCCCGGTGTGCTTTCCACCATCTGCTATCACATGGGGGGGCTTGTAAGCACCCCTATGTGATAGCAGTCAAAGTAAAACAAAAAACAGTTTTTAAAATTTATATAAAATAAATATAATAATAAAAACATATTTTTTTTAAAGTCCCCCGCCCTGCGAGCACGCGCATCGCCACGTAAACACGCGCCGTGTGCGTTTTACGTATGAAAACGACGAACGCGCTACACATGTTGGGTATCGCCGCGCACCCTGGAGTGAGAGCACTAATTCTAGGGCCAGTATTTTGGGGTATCTCTAAATTGATGACCTGTGGGGGCTTTTAAAGCGTCTTCTATGGATTTTTTGGGGTACTGCAGTTTTTCGCTGTTTCACGGACGCACGCAATTTGTAAACTGGGCATGTTGGGTATCGTTTTACTCGTTGTTACCTCATATTTTATATTTCATTAAAAAAATTGGTGTTTTGGGGCATTTAATACAATTTGTCACTAAATTTTGGGGTTTAATAAGGAGTTGCGCTAATATTGCGCAACATAAAAATTAGCAACTACCACCATTTTATTCTATAGGGTCTTGGCATTCAGAAAATATATAATGTTTGGGGGTTTTAAGTAATTTTCAGGCCTAAAATGTGGAATAAATGGAAAAAAAAGACCTCAGTCATGAAGGGGTTAATCCAGGACTGTCTATTGTGGCAGATTAATTATTAGTAGAGGTGCACCAAAATGTAAATTTCAAAACCGAAATTAAAAAAAATTGTCAAACCGAAAATGTTTAATATTTTAAAAAACAATTTAAATATTTAATTTTTTATAAACTTTTTAATTGCTTTATTTTTGTTTGTTTTTTTATTAAATATTTTTTACTTTACTTTTAGGCGCTTCAGGGAAATATTAGGGATCTAAACAGACCTGATATTTCCCTTTTTTTAAATAGAGGACTTTGTGTTCTCAATCTCTTTTTCTGCAGCCCCTGTTATCAATGAACAGGAATCCTAGGTGTGACCCTAGCCTGAAGAAGCTGTATGTAGTTTGGAATACATGGCTCTATAATATAGCATCTCTACTATAGACCGGTGGTTCATGGTGTGCGGGTGGACACTCGGGAGGTGAGCGAACACATACCGGGTTCGCTCACCTCTCGATCCTGTCACGGCTCTCTGACGGGGGGAGGGCCTGGATTCCCCTCTCCCTGCTGCGATCTGCCAGTTTGTGTCCTCCCATTACCCTAAGGAGAACTATGGGGAAAAACACTGACCCCATAGTTCTCCTTTTTAAGGAATGATTTGCATGGCT